GTCTGGAAATTTAAAACGGTCGTGTTATGTGATAAATACATGTTTATAATATTGTTATTTACGTGTAAATATTAGACTTTTCCACCCAAAAATGAACACTGACTCAATGAAAATATCTTGACGTTGGGATTTATTGAAAAAACAAAGTACATCCAGTTCGAGATATAAAGCGTTAAAAGTGGAAGGTGAAAATAAATCCTACTTTTAATTCAAAAATCATCAAAAACTCTTCATGACACCAGAGAAACATTTAGTGATTGACATGTCCCGCCTCTGCCGTCAGTTGATTGGACTAAAACCGTCCTCCTGCTCTCTGATTGGCTCGTCAAACTCCCGCTCTGCGTGCCAGCTGCTTTGGGAACAACAACAGAGTGTGTTAAAAAAGATGATTTCATTTCAATGAATACGTGAAATGGATGCAGAGTGGCCTCCATAATAACCTAATGATATAAAGGGTTCATTATTGCTGTTTCCGGGTCTATTTGACAGATTGCAACTTTTAAATTGCTTGTTTTCTAACATTTGAGCTCCATCGATGCTCTAAATAAGAGAAAAAATCACAAACATAGATTTTTTGTGATGCTATTTTTGGTTTGGATGTTTTTATAAACCTGGAGTTTGTCTTTCAATTAAAGAACATTTAGAACTTTGCAGATTTGACTGTGTCTTCATCTCTGAAAGTTGAACAATTGATTGAATTCGGGGGATGTAGACACACATTTGAGTAAAAAAGCGTAACACAACGTCCTCTGTGTCGTCTCGTTAAATGAGAGTGGATTCCTGACCGACCTGAGCGAGGCGTTTTCTGCCTGCAGATAATCCTCGACACAAACAAAGTGCTGAGTCTCCTTTTGTCCAGAGTCGCTCAGATTAACGCTCTGATCCTGGCGTTCAGTTTGCATTCAGCTGACTAACACCTCTGAGTACTGAGGCCTCACCAGGGGGTCATCCAGCTGACTAACACCTCTGAGTACTGAGGCATCACCAGGGGGTCAATCAGCTGACTAACACCTCTGAGTACTGAGGCCTCACCAGGGGGTCGTTCAGCTGACTAACACCTCTGAGTACTGAGGCCTCACCAGGGGGTCAATCAGCTGACTAACACCTCTGAGTACTCTGAGGCCTCACCAGGGGGTCGATCAGCTGACTAACACCTCTGAGTACTGAGGCATCACCAGGGGGTCAATCAGCTGACTAACACCTCTGAGTACTCTGAGGCCTCACCAGGGGGTCAATCAGCTGACTAACACCTCTGAGTACTGAGGCATCACCAGGGGGTCAATCAGCTGACTAACACCTCTGAGTACTCTGAGGCCTCACCAGGGGGTCATCCTGTTAGGAGGGTCTAAATCCATTCAAAGCTGCAAGAACTGATACAAATAAATCTTTTCTAAACACATAATGAGTAAAATGATAAATCTTGACCAGATAAAATGTGTCAATTTAGGATTTAGAAATATTTTATTGATCAAAACATCTCCACTTTGAGTATATTCCTCTTACTCTTCCTCGTGGTCCTCCTCCTCCTCCTCTTCCTCGCTGTGGAAGTCGTGCTCCTCCTCGCTGATGTTGGCCTCTTGATATTGTTGGTATTCGGCCACCAGGTCGTTCATGTTGCTCTCGGCCTCCGTGAACTCCATCTCGTCCATCCCCTCCCCGGTGAACCAGTGGAGGAACGCTTTCCTGCGAAACATCGCCGAAAACTGCTCAGAAATCCTCTTGAAAAGCTCCTGGATCGCCGTGCTGTTCCCGATAAACGTGGACGCCATTTTGAGTCCTCGAGGCGCGATGTCGCACACGGCCACCTTTAATTTAGAAAGAGACCATTTAAGGGTTGTATAATACACAGCTAAAACAGTGAGCTCTCCACACCTGGATGAAAAACAGCTGCAAAGAGACAAAAAGATGACAAAAAGTATGCCCATTTTGCATCCTAACATCTTGCGTTAATTAGCATTAATTAGCACGTTAGGGTATGTGTATGTGTGTTAGTATGTGGACAATAGTTTAAAAATGGCATTGCAGATTAGGACAGTTTTGGAGTGGTTTCGGGGGTTATTGAGGATGTTGAGTCCATTTATGACATTTTCAGGATCAAAGATGGTTTGAATACAAAAAATGCCATATTTGTACTTCCAGGAACTGGTTTGGGCTCAAAACTACACAATGGACTCAACATCCTCAATTACCCCCAAAATCACTCCTAAATTGTCTAAATCGACCAAGCCATTTTTTAACTGTTGTCATCATATGCTAATTAACGCTAAGTGATGCTAATCAATGCTAATTGATGCTTATTAATGCTAATTGATGCAAATTAACGCAAATTTGTGCTAATTGATGCTAATCAACGCTAAGTGATGCTAATCAATGTTAATTGATGCTTATTAATGCTAATTGTTGCAAATTAACGCGAATTGGTGCTAATTGATGCTAATCAACGCTAATTGATGCTTATTAACCACAATTAACACAACGTATGCAGGTTAGCATCTTAAAT